TATATTTTACACCACTCCTTTCTTTATCATGAAAAAATGAAATCAATAATATGCTTTTATTATTATTATTATTATTATTAAATGTCAATTAGATAATGAAATAATAATAATTATTATTTAATGCTGCACTCATCGGACCTTTTTGCATATAAATGAAAAAAAAAAAAATAATAATATGGTATTAATGAATTTTTGAGACTTGTACTTATTTAATTTTTTACGTTGAATCTTTTAATTTGTCTTCAAATTTTCGAGTGGTAAAGTAAATTAAAAAAAAATATCACATCATTCACTGCTACTACTATTACTTTAAGTTGTTCCTTTGACCAATACATACGTATCTATGTTTCTGCGTATAAATGCTTTTTTATTCAGGCCATGTGATTTTTTAGATCATTTCCAAATATGATCCTGATTTTACGAGACTATTTTATTTTTAATCTTTTACATCATTTAACTAATTGCTTTTTTCACTACACTCAAATAAAATGGCACTTAAACGTATTCAAAAGGTAATAAAAATATCGTTAAATAGTTAAATATGTAAACTTTATATTTCAAACTTATTTATTATTAACAATTTGAAGAAAAAATAATAATATTTGGTAAAATATTAGTCCTAATTTAATATCTACGATGCATACTTTATTATTTTTGAAATATAACAATAACAGTTAGTATGATTTCAAAAATCAATGAAAATAAGGAATGAAAGGTTGGGGGAATGAATACCTTTTTCACAAAATCTTTAGCAGTTTTATCAAATTTTGACTTGTTTGTATTATAAATTTCAGCAATAGAGGCCACTAAAGCATCGTCAGGATTAGGATGTTCAAGAAGACTGGCAATAGATTTAAGAACTACATAATATAATAGATATGTGTATATGTGATTAGCGAATAACAGTAGTGAAAATAAATATTTTTATATTTTTTACCTTGTGTAATCTTTGTTGATGGCTTCCAGACATCAGTTTTTAATAAATCAACACAAATTGATCCATCTTCATCAATATTGGGATGATATATTCTAGTAATAAATTTAACCTATATAAATATAAAATAAAAACAAACATACATGAATAAATAAATAAGACTATCATTATTGTTGTTGTTATTATTATTGTTATTATTAATATCACATCATTTACTAATTCGAATATATAAAAAACCTACTGATGGTGGTTTAAATGGATAGTCGTGTGAAAAATCAATCTTAAGTTTGAAAATTCCGCCTTTGTAAGGACTAGAAGCCTATAAATAAACAATATAATATATATAAAACATACAAATATCTTGTACA